GTTCGCGGGGTTTGCGGGGTTTGCGGTGTCCGCGGGGTCCGCGGGTTCCGCGGGGTTCGCGGGGTTCGCGGGGTCCGCGGGGTCCGCGGGGTTTGCGGGGTCCGCGGGGTTCGCGGGGTTTGCGGGGTCCGCGGGGTCCACGGGGTTTGCGGGGTTTGCGGGGTTTGCGGGGTCCGCGGGGTTCGCGGGGTTTGCGGGGTCCGCGGGGTCCACAGGGTTTGCGGGGTTTGCGGGGTCCGCGGGGTTCGCGGGGTTTGCGGGGTTTGCGGTGTCCGCGGGGTCCGCGGGTTTCGCGGGGTTCGCGGGGTTCGCGGGGTTTGCGGGGTCCGCGGGGTTCGCGGGGTTTGCGGGGTCCGCGGGGTCCACGGGGTTTGCGGGGTTTGCGGGGTTTGCGGGGTCCGCGGGGTTCGCGGGGTTTGCGGGGTCCGCGGGGTCCGCGGGGTTCGCGGGGTTTGCGGGGTTTGCGGGGTCCGCGGGGTTCGCGGGGTTCGCGGGGTTTGCGGGGTCCGCGGGGTTCGCGGGGTTTGCGGGGTCCGCGGGGTCCGCGGGGTCTGCGGGGTTCGCGGAGTTTTAATCTTCGATTGTTACACGACTGGGAATGATAAGTTTCTTATAGTGTTGAGTATCTGAGAAGTGTTAAGTGCTCTTTTAGTCATACGAAGTGTGATTGTCTCCACTCCAAAGATGCCGGTTCTCTTCAAATTGTCTTGCATTATTGTGTACTTGTACAGATGATTGTTTTAAGTTGTTGTGTGAAAAGTTGTCTTGTATTGTTTTAACTACTTGTGCGCCGCATGGTCCGGAACTGTCCAACGAACGGGGGCCCCCCCCCGGCCATCAAACGAAGATGTCGGGACCATTTCTCTGAGAGATAGGCTCCAGCTCTGAGTATAATACATTTTTGCTAAAGCAAAAGGAAAACTCAGGTAGCGTAACCGCTACCTTTCGTGATGTATATGTATATGTATATGTATATGTATGTATCTGTATGTGTATGTGTATATGTATATGTATGTGTATGTGTGTGTATATGTATAAGTATATGTATATGTATATGTACATGTGTATGTATGTATGTATGTATGTATGTGTGTGTGTGTGATGTCTGAAATGCCCTATGTACCCTTGGGCGGTGATTTCGGGGCGGCAGGAAAAAATCGCTGTCCAAAACGCAAGGTTGTTTCGCGGCTCGCTTGAACCAAACACGGTCCTGGCAGCTCGGCATTGGGAAACAAATCTGCGCGCAGGGCATCGAACTGGTCCACCATCAGTTGTGACTGGTGCTCCGTCAATCGATCCATGTTCCCCGTCAAGACTCTCACAGCGTTCTCCAAGGAAATCCGAAGGGCCCGATTTCCTTGGTCTTTTTTGACGATGGGCGGTGGGGGAGGACCGATTTGGGAGGGCCGACAGCAACACCCAAAGGACTCCTTGTGAGCCTGAGGTGGTGCCTTGGACTACACGCCATCCCAAAAATGGAACAGCTATGCGAAGAGCCACAAGGCAGCAATGCCCACAAAAAGGCCCCCTCCAGCCAGGAATGAAGCGTCATGGGCTAGACTGCTGCCATGTCTCCCTGGTTGACCGCATCCTTCACACAGTGGATGTCGCACCACAGCCGCGAAAAGGCGGCTTGGTCGCCTGCACAGTCTTCACTGTCGGCCTTGTAAATTGAGTCGGCCTTGCTGTCTTTTTGCCATTGCACAACTGACCCCTCAACACCTCAGCAGAACCAGCGGCTGAATGCATAATGCAGCAGGGCACAAACACCTTTATAAGTTCTCAAGCTCAGGTTTCACTATTCCCCAAGTGCCCGAAGTCAAACCGAGCGGTCAAATTGCAAGGCTGGGGGATTGAATTAAATGATGGTGATGTTGGAGCCTGGTTCACACGGGTCCCAACCAAAGAGGGGGGGTTCACACCCAAAAGGACAAACGGTCCCCACACACGAAGCGGCGCTCCACAACTGCACTGTTTGCACATGCTCAAGGGCCCTTGCGAGCCGATGCAGCGGAGCGCTGGAAGTGAGGAGCGCTGGAAGTGAGAGAACATTTGCACTCCCAACTATGTAAAATTGGTGAAGACCCATGGCTCTGATCCACGGTCCTCAGCTGCCACCTGGAGAGCAATGTGGTTCAAGCTCAACAGGTCTCGAAGGAGGTGAGACGGCTTCACCTTCGTCACGTCATCGGCCAACTGCCGATCGGTAGCGCCCCACTTGAAGATCTGCTTCAGCCTGTGGGGAAGCTATAGGGGTCTGTCCTTCTTGAGAAGGTCGCACAAAGAACGGCAGTCCATGGTCAGCAGGAGCGGCATGAAGTCCGGCGGAAGCCTTCCGCTTTGCGTCGGGCGGTGGTCCTGGATGCGCCAGTCCAGCAGGCAGGCGGTGTCGCCCTGCGCGGTGTCCCACCTCGTGGCCAGCGACGAAAACCATGTATCCCGCTTAGGATTTCAGCTCAGCAGCATTCGCCCAGCTGCTGTCGGCGACCATCTTGGCCTTCTCGAGGTCAATGGCCTTGAACTGAATGCCCCAGTCCTCTGAGGCTTTGGCTTCCCGCACCAACTTGCTCAAGTCGGACAGGTTGCTCACCGTAGGCTTGCCACTCATGTAGAGTGAGGTGCCAGCTGCAAGGTCAGGGCGGGACTGTCCCGTCAGCCAGCAAAGGCACCCTCCAAGAGAGCGGAGCTCGGTCATCTCCTGCGGGAAGAGCTCAGCATTGGGAGTTGCCGACCGCCACTTTGGAACTGAAGTGGCCGTAGCTGCTTGGGTGAACTTCTGCTGGTTGAGCTTGATGACGTTGTCGTCGATGGTGATCTGCTTGCCGCCATACTCAAGCACCTTCTCCTTGCGGGAGTCGGCACATGCTCCAGAGTCGAACGTTTGCTGGAGCTGCTTGAGGATGCCATCAGCACCATCTTCACCTGGAGCTCCTGCGCCGATGAGGTCGTCCACATGAGCGCCCAAAACTAAGACCATTGAAGACGGCACGGTCCAAAGACACCCTGCAAAAAGGCTCTGGTGATGTCCGCGTTGAAGAGGAACCATCCGCTCATTGAAGCTGCAATCTGGAGGGTGCTCATGAGTGAGGTACGGGTCATCGTCGGTGCATCTAAAGATCTCGATGAGGTCCTGCGTTGCGTGCCACCACATCGCGAGCTGTCTTGGAGGTCTGCCGGGCCGTGCTCCCCTGGCACTGCGCTTCAGCCGTTTCTGCCGTCCTCGTCGAAGAGGTACGATGCCCTGGCCAGCTCTAGGTGACCTCCCACCTGCCTCTACACTTTGGACGCAGCAGCTCTCGAGGGGCCACTGCGCAACTTACAGACCTCGCCGCTACCTTCCCAGCCACCGTGCCGCGTCCTACCCACACCTGCGGAGACGCGCCGCGCGGAATCATTAAAGAAAACATTTTAAAAAACCATAAATGGAAACATATTGAAAACATGAAAAATCATGAAAATATCATAAAAATATCGGGAAATGTGCCTGTTTCGGAGATTCTAATTTTTTTAATGATCTTCTTATGTTTTTGATATGCTTTTTTTACGTTTTCATTTCTGCTTTTTTTGTTGTTTTTATGATTCCGCGCGGCGCGCCTCCGCGGCTGGGGTAGGACGCAGCGCGGTGGCTGGGAAGGCGGCCTCGAGAGCTGGCGCGTCCGAAGTCCCAGGCAGGTGGGAGGTCACCTAGAGCTAGCCAGCTGAGCAAACGCTAAGTCCTGTTCCTTTCCTTCCCTGTGGCCCTGAGTACGGCACAGCCTTCACAGGCTTGAGGGAATCAGCGTAAACTGAAACCTTCTTACTTAATGGCTTCAAGGCGTCAAACACTTTAAACCTTGCGCGCTGCTTGGTTTTTTGCACCGTGTCTCCAGCATAGAACTTGCCATTGATATTCCCTTGCTTCTATTTGCTAAATGCCTGGTGGCTTATACCAACGTAGCTGCAAGTAATGCCGCGAAACCTTGCCCTTGGCCCAAGGCCACGTGACACTTTGCACGTCTGAGATTTAGAACCCTATCAATTCAGTCGTTAATTGTTAGCACCCGTCTCCTTTTTTTCAATCTTTGGCCCTCGCGAGTCCTGCGCTACACTAGCCCTTATCAATCACATCACGGACATGAAATTTTGCAGGCCTTCTGCATACTTGATATTTGGCTCGCAAACCAAGAACCTTGAACGGACCTTCAACCACAGGCCGAAAACGATTTGTGAATTTGCCGAAAGACAGCAAGAAAAACACAAACGCTACATGAAAAAGGCGCTTCAGCAAAACATATTTAAAAAAAGACATGAAAAAGGCACTTCAACAAAACATATTTTAAAAAAAACATAAAATAAAGCGTAAAAGAGAACATTGTTAAAAAAACAACATAAAAATGTCATAAACCAAAAAACACCACTTTGGAAAAACATAAACGAAAACATATTGAAATCATAAAAAATCATATAAGAAAAGTTGTGGCAACTACCACCAGTGCACAAGAGCACCTCTTTCGAACGTTGGTCTGAGTTGTCCTTCGTCGAAGATCCTTCTCAATCCACTTGGTGGCTTTGAGTTGAACATCTTATCTGTACTTCCTGCCCCTTTTCACCCTCATCTCAGACAAGGTGTGGGCGGGTGGGAAAAAGAAGCAATGGCAGGTAATGCAACAGGGGAGGGTGGCTTATCTTGAGCCAAAATGGCAGAGCACTCAGTGCCCCCCCTGTTGCCACAGTTTCTTTTCCTCTAGAAAATTCCTTGCGCTCATTTTCTTTTATGAAAAGTTGTCGCAACTACCACCAGGTCACAAGAGCACCTCTTTTGAACGTTGGTCTGAGTTGTCCTTAGTCGAAGATCCTTCTCAATCCACTTGGTGGCTTTGAGTTGAACATCTTATCTTATATGTACTTCCTGCACCTTTTCACCTCCTTGCCTTGCGCAGGAAGTTTCCCATCCAACCAGCTTCTTCGTCGCCCCCTTTCCCAGAGGTTTGTCTAACCTCCGTACAAGGGGTCCCCCAAAGCGCGGTGTGAAGTATTACAAAAGACAACTCTATCCCTTTTCTTGCAGCGCCATCTTTCTGCCCCTTCTACCAATTCCTTCATGTCCTTCTCGAGCTCCATTCTCGAATACTCCCCTTTCCATTTCTTTTGCTCCTCCCTCTGAAGTTTGCCTTTCTTATGAAAGCCTTCTCCTTTGCTTCCATAGTGGTGATCTTTGCGACCACGTGGGTTCTTCCCTTTTTCCTGCTCTCTTACCCTTATGTTTCCAGAGCTTCCCCTTTCTTACTCTTTTCAATCGCTCGTTGCGCAACTTGACTTCAGACAGGCGCGCGCCTATCCTCCTTTGGATTTGCGCCTCCCGTCCCTTGGCCTTACCTTGTCCATCAACTTCTACCCTCGTTGCTTGCGCTATCCTTTCCTTTCGACGGGTCTGCTTTCCCCTTCTCCTCTGCTTGCCCACGTGGGTGATGGGTTTCGCCGGCCAGTATCCGCCTGCGCATTCCTGTCTCTGCTCGTTGACCTATCCATCGTTTGATTCACACCGGCATCCTTACTCGGTTTCAACGCTCCTCTCTCCGTCCTAGGCCCTTTCCTTCTCGCGCCCTCCTTTCCGGACTTTCTTCTCTCAACATCTTTCCCCCACGTGCTTCGCAAGCACCCTTTCTCTCTCTCCTCCACTGGTACCCATGGTTGCTTCCAAACTTGTGAGCTGTCCAACCACGGCCTCGCCTGTCTCGCCTAAGTTCCCCTCACGCTCGGCCTGCTCCTGTCCGAAGCTAGCTCTCCTTGACCCCCTTCCCTTGATTCCTGCTTGTCCAAGTTTGTTGGTAATGCCAAGCTTGGCTCTCCGTGCAACCGAGCGTGTTGCCTTCGCCCTTGTCTGCGTATCGGTTTCCCTTCCTTCCTACTTGACCAGGTCTCATGGTAATACCCCATTGGTCTTCCGTACATCTCCGGCACGTTTGTCCTCACCCTCGCCTGCGTGTCTCCAAACAAGCCAAGGCACCTTGTCAAGTTCAAGTTGTACATCCTGCCCTTCAACCCTGCTGCTCCATTTCCGTCTTGAATTCCTTCTTTCGTCCTTGTCGTTCCCCTTGATGCTTCGTCCTGACTCCTCAGCTTATTCCCTCGTCTGCCGCTGCCCAATCCATCCATTGGTCAGATTGATGTTGTACTTCATGAGCACCGCGTCCTCGATGGACGTTCGGGTACAGGATGTCGATGGCGGTCTTCAGCCTCTTCCAATCGTACTTGCCCTGAGTGCGAAGCAGCAGATTGGCTTGGCGTTCTGTCGAAGCACCGGGGTGGATATCCGGGCTGCTCTGTCCATTGTACTCAGCAATGTCTCTCATGTTCAGGGCCTTGCCGGTGGCAATCTGGCGCTGAAAGAAGTTACGCATAGCCGTGCCAACCTTGTTGATGGTCGGCTCATCGCACGTGTCTCGTAAGATCTTGATGAGCACCTGCCATCCAGTTTCTGCCCCCCACACCTTTGCCGGGACATCTTCGAGGAAGTCGACGGCTTCCCCTTCCAGAGCGGCGTGCAAACGAAGTCCGTTCTCGATGATGCATGGGAGTCAACTTTGTTGGCGTACTTCTTGAAGCAACGGGGATCCTTCTTCCGGTCTCCGTCGAAGGTGGGTGCCGGAGGAAGATTCCCTCTAGGTCGCTTCTGCGCCGGACTGGTGGAGCTTGAAGTGCCATCACCACGTCGACGAGGGTCACGACTGCTGGTCTTGTCAGGTGACTTGTCAGGTGAGGCCCCGGTCGGAGATGGGTGCCCGCTAGACCTGAGTTCGGTCCGGGTCCATTGCGGCCTGAACTCGGGCGGCTCATCGGCATCCTCTAGCTCTTCTTCTAGCTCCTCTTGGAACGGTGAGGTCTCGGCATCCTCAAGAAGCTCTTCCGCCTCGTCGGCCTCGAGGTAGTCCAAGCCGAGCACCTCCTCATCGAGCTCGTGAGAGCTCCCATCGCCAGCCATCGGCCTGCACGTCCATGAAGGATCTGGACACACGCTACCAATGCAATGCTGGTTGAAATGGTGATGTTGGAGCCTGGTTCACACGGTTCCCAACCAAAGAAGGGGGGTTCACACCCAAAAGGACAAACGGTCCCCACACACGAAGCGGCGCTCCACAACCGCACCGTTTCCACATGCTCAAGGACCCTTGCGAGCCGATGCAGCGGAGCGCTGGAAGTGAGAGAACACTTGAATGAATAACGAGCCTGCAGAATGCCCAACCGATGCAAAGGCCGGCCAGCTTGTTCGAATTAGAAATGGGACCAAGTGACCAAGTCGGTTGTATCAAGTCCAAACCGAGAAGTTGCCGGGGTGATCTGTAGTTGGACTTTGGTGGACACCCATGGTCTGCCTTGTGTTCAACATGGGTGAAAGTGAGCATGGAACCCGAGAACCTACATCTGCACATGATGCTTGCAAAACTATCCATGCTGTTTCAACTCAACTTCTGTTGTAGGATCTTCGAAAGGGAGTCTTCTGGGTAACGCTTTGCGCGTTTTGTGGCTGGATGACCCCTCTACACAAAGCCCCACGGCAAAGCGGATTTTCCTTGGGCAGGTGTGCCCCCAGCTCAGCATGCCCAGCTATTCGCTCAGCCGCCCTGAGAAGAATCCACCAACGCTTGACAAATCTCCCCGGTCTGCACGATGGAGCCAAAGCCCACTGGAGCGACAGCCACGGAAGCAAGCCAAGCGCAGGTTGCCCTCACGACTCCTGGCGCCGAGAAACGGGCTGTCCTGCGTGAGGTGTGGCACCATCCAGTCGACGATGGGGCGGGGATGTTTGATGATGCTTGTCAAGGCAAGTCTGCGAGATCGTGATACACGCATGAAATCCCCATGCGTATGTAGGAAAGTTGTATGAACGCCAAGGCACAGAACCAAGCAAGGTGCCCCCGGAGAACGCATCCCCTCTACCCATTGTTCGGGGTTTGCATCGACACAAAGGAACCCAAACAAACATTGTGAAAAGAGCTTGTAGCTGATCCGTAGCTCCCAGCACAGTATCGCCAATCAGCTGGTTGCTGCTGAATTCTTTGATTGCGTGGTTCAGCTTCAACTGCCTCTTGATCGAACGGTCCTGGGATCAGGTTTGAACGGCAAACCATCCACACAAACTCATGGAGCTGATTGTGCCTTGACAGTTCTTTCAACACCAGCCCAGGAGAAAGCTATACTCACCAACAAGCGTTGTCTTTTCCAGACTCTGCTGTTTTCAAGTGCGTGAGCCCTTTCAATGTAACACGGCAATACATGGGTGCGGCAGTTTGCACATGCACGCATGTGATATGTGCAAGCATGACAGCGCGGCAACAAGTAACAACCAGGGAACCTGCTCCGGAGCCTGCTCAAGAGCCTGCCAGCAAGTTCAGCTTCTCAGCGTGACAACGTATCAGCATGTTTGTGTGACCAACGCGAGCGCGCCGGCATGACAACATGCTGGCGTGAACCAACACAAGCACCAGCGCGACAACACCAATTGCATGACAGCACTATACACAGCGCACAAGCATGACACCACGTCAGCGATCCGCGTAGGAACACCTCAACGTGTCAGAGCGATCCCACCAAGCCGTCGCTCCAGCTTCAGCACCTCCTCTCCGGAACGTGTTCCAGAACCTGCTCCGGAACTTGCTCCGAAATGTGTTCCGGAACTTGCTTTGGGAGCTGCTTAGGTACCTTACCTGCTCCGATCTGCTCCGATACTTTTACTATGGCTGAAGACCCTAAGCTTTTCGGCTGTGGAAAAATGACGCAAACATTCAAAAAAAATGGGATTCGGCGTGGGGAACTGTAAACAAAACAGAATGTGATTTCCTATTGTCTGCAAATGTTGTATAGTATAAGTATCCTCGTTAAGATGCCCCCCACAAAAGAAAGAGAAATTCCACAACAGAATCACCACATCCGGGAGTCTATTTAATCTATTTGTATGTGTTGCTAGTTGCTCGTAACCTCCAAAATCTCAAGTCATGTGTCATGTGTATGACATATTCCCCGATACTTGGATGTCCGATTTCACAGAATCAAGGGCGCCCTCGCATTGTTGCAACAACTCTACCTACCTCGAGTCCAGCCAATCCCTGGAAGCTTGCTGAGAAAAAAGTGTCTCAGTTGTATGCTGCACATATGTATATATATATATATAACTACCTGAGAATCGCTTTTCCTCTGGTGAGGTTCAAGGTGTGAAGGAGAAGCATTGTGCAGAAGTTGATTCCCATGGCATGGAAACTGGAAAAGAACTCCCTGGCTAAGGGATGTAACATGGTGGCTTACGTGTCCAACCCCGCGTGCGCACGAGAAAGATCCCATAAGCCCAAGCCGCAAAGCAACCCAAGATCTTCTCATAGCTGAAGCCAGCATCCGTGTCCCCTTCATCGGTGGCATCATCCGTCCTTTCCTTAGTGATGGCTGGGCTGGAATCCTGGGTGGAGAGACCACCGAAGACCAGCAAAGTCAGTTCCCCGATGCTTACGGTGCCAACCGCCCTCTAAGTCTGTGGCGGATTCAACACCACCAGGGACAACCCAGAAGTATCTGTAGCAGATTCAACCGCTCAAACCCATATGCACTTGCTGCATATGATCCATGTGCCGCCCCCGGACCCGGCCGAACCCGGGCCGAACCCGGGCCCGGGCCGCGGCCGCCCAACCACTCCAGCTGGGTCTCAGTCCAGCTGGCACCTTCTCCGACCTCAGGCTCCTCGGCCGCTGGGTCGGCGGTCTCCCCTGAGACGAAGTAGCAGGGATTCTCCTTGCTCAAACCTTCGCCCACCATCCTCCAATCAGGCACCTCAGGCACGGTGTGAAGCAAATCATAAGAAGGCACCCAACCACAACATCTACTTCACATGGCTTATTAAGATGTAGTTGCATGAAATAAACTTTTGCTCAGGTATGACTTGTGGTCCCAACGAGATTGCCAAAAGTCTGCAGCCAGTCCGCGAAAGGTCTTGCTTCGCGCTGGGCCCAGACGTGCAGAGAACAGAAGTGAGTGGCTCGACCGAGTGGCTGCAGACATCTGAGAACAACACACAACATGATCTTCCAGAATCGACCCGGAATTGGACGGAATGCGAGCAAAAACCCTGAACTAGCCTAAACTAAACCATTCAACTTGAATCATTTGACCCCATCTTGCCATGTTTCCAGGTCTGATTCTTTGTTAGACGAATGAAAACGAAAGAGCCCAGCAGCCCATCCCCCTCGTCGTCCCAACATCGACTGGCCGGGGCGCAAGTGTCTTGCACTCCTCAGTCGGGCACCAAAAATAAGTCCAAAAATATACACCTCCTGGAATAATCATGGTTACGCATGGCATGGCCGCGATGTTGGATTGCCATTTTCATCCATTTTCCGACTCCCAAACAGATGAGGAATTCCGTTATTCTTTCAGGGAGTGTAATGTCTAAAGCCTTGCAACGCGCTCAAGGAACAAAAACAAACCAGGGCATGGAGTATGCATGGAAATGTTTGTCATACTATTACATTATTATACATGCTACTCATAATGTTGCGGAGGGCACTAGTAAACATAGGACAGGATGCTTGCAAACAACCTAGCTGGGAATAATCGAAATTGGCTCTTCCAATTGAATCTGAGTGCGTGCATTCCACTGATCAGCTCTTTGCCAGCAGCAAATCCAAAAACATCCCAAAACTAATCTGCCCACCTGAGAACAGTTCTTCCACAACTTGACTGCCAGCACCCTCCACACCACACTGTTGAGACCCGAGCTGGATATTGGGCTCGGGGCGCCGGACCTCTTGACCAAACGTTGCTTGAGGCTTGGGAAAACAAGGACAAAGGAAGCCCTCTTCCCGGCTTCACGAAACAAGGTGCTGGCGCTGGGCCCAAGCCCGGGATCTGCGAAGTAAATGTCAGCAAGCTGGGCTTTGGCCGCTTGGGCACGTGGGAGGGCGCCAAAGCCTGCTGATGAAACGCCGGTGGGCGACCGGTTTGGATGCCCAAATTCTCCAGCTCCGCATTGAAATCACTCCTGAGAAACGACAGACAAAGAAACACCTATCCACCCTCTCAAAGTGCTTTGGCTTGGATTTCGGGCACCGATTCCAGGCCTCCGACCATGTGAAGAGGTCTGATTCCGGTGAAAAGCGAAACCATGTGAAGCGGCCCATCATGCCGGCCTCAACCAATCGGGACATGGTACAGGATCTTCCTACAGCATCACCCGATGTGAGTCGCACTGGTTCAAGGAAGTTTCGAGGAGGAGGCCTGAACCAGTCTGGTGGCCAGCCCCGAGGGTCAGGTTCGCTTAATTTGGTTGAGCCACACACACACTGTGGTCCGGCCTCCATTGATCTTCCCCCCCAAGAATTGCCAGGTGTGACCGAATCGGACCAACCCAAGCCCCCGCTGCAGTTCAACTCATGCAGGCAGGTTCTCGACTTCGAAATGCCAAGCACACTGGTCCTTCTTCCACCCCGTCGCCTCCCCTTTCGCCCCCACACCGCCCGAAGCCATGCACTGAAGCCATGGCCGGGTGTCACTGCTACCGTGCTCCAGCCCCCGGCGTCTGTCCGCAAGCCGGCTCCGTCTAAGGGCTCCGCCACGTAGGTGTCCACACAGCCCAAGGGCCGCCTCCTGGCGAGAAGAGGCCAAATCACGGGGTTTTGGGTGAAATCCCGTGGGAAGACAGGACGAAAAGATGGAAGGGTGTTCGAAACGGCTGCAAAGCTAGTTTTTTGGATTTGTTCGTAGCTTGTGGGGGGAATAGTGGCGTTTTTCCCCAACAGCGGAAGCTTGGGGTCTCAGCCAAACTAGGCACTGGGGCAGTCATCCGGTGAGGTTCCCTGAGGTTCCGAGGTTCCAAGTAAAGGTTCCCAGTCAAGGTTCCGAAGGTTCCGAAGGTTCCGAGGTTCCAAGCGAAGGTTCCGTGTCAAGTG